GCCCCACTACTGACGAATGGATTAAGAAAATGTGGTATTTACACACAATGGAATACTGCTCAGCCATGAAGAAGAATGAAATGTTATCATTCACTGGTAAATGGATGGGACTGTAGAACATCATTCTGAGTGAGGTTAGCCTGGCCCAAAAGACCAAAAATCATATGTTCTCCCTCATATGTGGACATTAGATCAAGGGCAAACACAACAAGGGGACTGGACTTTGATCACATGATAAAGCAAGAACACAAGGGAGGGGTGAGGATAGGTAAGACACCTAAAAAACTAGATAGCATTTGTTGCCCTCAACGCAGAGAAACTAAAGCAGATACTTTAAAGCAACTGAGGCCAATAAGAGAAAACCTTTTCTGGTACTAGAGAAAAGGTTAGATCAAGAATAATTAACTTAGAAGGTTAACACACATGTACAGGAAAGCAATGTGAGTCAACTCCCTGTATAGCTATCCTTATCTTAACTAGCAAAAACCCTTGTTCCTTCCTATTATTGTTTATATTCTCTCTTCAACAAAATTAGAGATAAGGGCAGAATAGTTTGTGTGTGGTAGCGAGGGGGTTGGGGAGAGGGAGAGGGGCCAGGAAGGTAAGGGTAGGGGTGGGAGGAAGAGGGGAAAAATGACCCAAACATTGTATGCACATATGAATAAAAGAAAAAACAAATTAAAAAAAGGAGAAACGTGGAAACCACCTCTCCCCTTACCAGGTTTGTGCACATAATAACACCCAGCACCATTCTGCAGGCATCCTGTGCCTCAATGTCATGTGAGCCCAGGAGCAGAAGGTGAGGTTGGCAGGACAACTAGGAAGGTACAGTCAGCTTGCCCTACTCAAAGCTGGCAGCCCAGGAAAAGTAAGAATCATATGCAGGCAGAGGACACCAGGCTAGATACGAGACATCCACAGGTGGTACCAGAAATCATGGGAGCAAAAGAGGGGAACTTAGCCCAGCCCGGCCTTTGGACCCAGGGATGGATTTCATCGGATCGAGGTTGCTGGAGTGGATGACCATGCCAGTGTAGGGGAGTTAACAAATCAGGTGGTGCATTCGTCAGTTTTCTGGCACTACAATGAAATACTAACACTGGCTACTTATGAAGTAGAGGTTTATTTAGCTCACATTTTTGGAAGTTCAGACTCTGGTGGCCTCAGAGGTTTGACTTCTATTGAGTATGGCACAACATGACAGAAGTACATGTAGGAGAAAATGGTCACCTCTCAAACAGGAGCAGAGAGAAAGAGAACTGGAGGGCCAACTATGCTCCTTTTATAACAATCATCTCATGAGAATGCAGGGGTTGAAGAAATACCTTCTAAGAGAACACTCCCAACAACCTAAGGACCTCTCACTTGGCCCCACCTCTTAAAAACTTCCACTACCTCTCACCCTACAGACCAAGCTTTTAACATGCGGTCATTTAGGGAACATTCAACATCCAAACCAGAGCAGGCAGAAAAGAGGCCTCTAAAGTGTTGGAGTAGCGCAATGCCAGGATGGGGACAGCAGAACAGGAGGTAAGTAATGCAAGGAATGTTGGGAGGCAAGGTGGCAGGGGTCAGTGAGTGGCTGGATGGAGCAGTAAGGGTGGCTCAGAGTAACCTATGGTTTCTGACCTGATAGAAAGGAGATAACTGGCTGTTAGGACGAACACTGAGCTCCAACATGCCGTGGCCAACTCACCCAGAGGTAAGGGTCAAGCAGAAGGGCCAGCGGTCCCCAGGCACCAGATTTGGATGTTGAGGAAGACTTTAGAGCTGGTGTACGGAAAGATGGAACAGGATCTTGAGGGGGACTTACAGTGACAGGTTTTCTGCTGATAAGCAAAAGCTGAGAACACAATAGGTGCCAAGAACCCACATTCCCAAGCCAAGCATTAGGTCACAGATGCCAGACCAGTCAAGGAACTGGTAATTCACCATCAGGTTCTGTGAACTCCAGCCTGCAGCCTGTGGCAGTGGGAGCTGGATGAGGCAGAGAGCCCACATTCCAGGACCAGGGGGAGTGCTGGGTGCTGGGTGTTCTTTCCATCTCTCGGTGAGAAAGGAAGGAGAGGCAAATAGAATGGCTATAATGAAAAAGACAGACAATAATATGTACAGGTCTGAAACTATCTTACACTCCTGGAGGGAAAAAGCAAAATGGTACAGCTGCTTTGGAAAACAACCTGGCAATCTAGTTAAACAGAGTTACCATCTGATATCCAGCAATTCTATTCCTAGGCATATACTCAAAAGAGAAATGAAAACGTATGTCCAAACAAGTTTGTACTTGAATGTTCGTAGCAGCATAATTCATAATAGCCAAAAGGCAGAAAGAACTCAAATTCTCTCACCAGGTGACGGATAAATAGGGGATATACCTATACAATGGAATCATACTTGACAATAAAGACTAAGTACGAATACATGCTACAACACAGGTGAGCCTGCTCATCTTTCCATCATATTTTGATGTAGCAAATACACTGAGCACTTCTGTACCAGTCCGCTTGCATTCATTTAATCTTTGGAGATCCCTGCCATTCTTGTCCTCATTTCTCCTATGATACAGAGAAAGGTTAAGAGAGATAGTCAAGGTTGGCAGAACTGAATTCAAATGCAGGCAGTCTTCCTCAGAGTCCCTCTATTACTCTATCCTGCTGCTGAAGGGAGGGGAAGGGAAGAGTAGGTTAGAATCAAGCTGAAAGTTCCAAAAAAAGGTCAAAGTTGTTCAACCAAACAAACCACATGGGCCCCTTCCCAGTACTCACAATCCCAAGACATGTAGCCCTGGCTATTCCCAGAAGTTGTACACACTCTCGGCTTCCAGGAACATGCAGACTGACCTCCGAGCTGGTGAAAGCCCATTTGGAGAGCAAGTGGAAGCTCCACCTGGAATTCAGCAGGAAATGAGCACCTGGGGCAAGCACTCTTCAGGCAAGCTCAGGTTAAAGGAACCTGAAAATTCATTCGGTCATGCTTCGAATTACATGTATCAGATCAACTCCCCAAGAAAGGATTTTAACAATAAAGCCTGTCAGAACAAAGCAGACAGAGCCTGGCAGACTTCTCTAGATTCTGTTCAAGGATTAAGTTCATGAGACTTCACAGAGTCAAACATGTCTGTACACCAATTCCTCTCCTCCCATGCTCTCTGAAGGCCACTATATTTCCCTCCCCTGCTCTTCTGAAACTGCCCAGCAGGATCATAGTGACCTCCCCATGGTCAAGGCCAATGCTCAGTTTTTAAGCCTTTGTGACACTTCTCAGCAGCATTCAACATTGCTGTTCATCCCTTCTTTGTGGTAGACTCTCCTCACTTTACTCCTAGGATATCAAATCCTTATTTTTTCTCTTGCCTTAGTGCTTGTTCCTCCATTACCACTAGTCTAGATATAATTTGTCTACCCCAAGAATTTCTGTTGAATCTTAATTCCCCATCACTAGATGCAGGCTCTTGAACCTCCAGAACTGAGATAAATAAACTTATTCTTTCTCAAGTTGCCTGGCCTCTGGTATTTTATTATAAGTAGCACAATATGGCCTAACATGGTATCCTGTTAATTTTTTTCTTCTTCCTCCTAACCTCTAAAAGTTAGCAAACTTAGTCCTTAATCTTCTCTTTGCACACACACATTGAATGTATTCCCAGTCACCAGTTTACTTCCTCACTGCTTCCATCCTTCATTGCTGACAATTACACTTGGCCCTTGAAACATTTTTCCTTCAAAACTGACATGTCATTAATTTTGCAGATAGAAACACACCCCAGTAGTCAATTATTAGGTCTGGCTTCCAAACCAAATAAAACCCACTAGGTCTCCTGACTCTGACTGTACACTTAAGGACTGTTTGTTCATTTGAAAAATGGAAACCATCCATCCTAGGTATTTTTAGGAGGAGAAGATACAGGACTGGGCATGTGAGGGACTGGGAACCTGTGCAGGTGCTACCACTGGATTTGTGATCCAGATCCAGCTGCGCTGCTCTCTAGCAGGGAGACTTTGAACAGTCAGTCCCACCTTTCTGGAAGCTCCCATTGTCTTTTCTCTAATGCTTGAATAAAATCACCCTGAAGTGTAATAAGAATAAAGACTCCTCAGAAATTTAAGTGTAGAAACTATCATCAGACTAAGTAAACTCCTAGTTATGTATCCAAAAGAATCAAAATTTCATGGCAGCACTATTCACAACAGCCTAAAGGAACAGTCCAAGTGGTATACAGGGTCAATGGATAAGTAAAATTACAGTTAATACATACAACAGAATATTACTCACCCACAAAAAGGAAAACACTCATACTTGCTACTCTGTGGATGAACATTGGAAACATTAGGCTGTGTAAAAGATCACATATTATGATTCTATCTACATGAAATACCCAGAATGGATAAATTCATGCAGCATGGAGATTGGTAGCTACCATACGCAAGAGGGAGGGGGGATGTCAGAACTGTTTAAAGGAACTGGATTTTATTTTGGAGCTATGAAAACACTTTTGAACTAGAGGTGATGGTGTATAATACTGTAAATGTGCTAAATGCTAGTGAATTAATTACTTACCTTAAAATGGTTAGTAATATTTTATATCTTGCCATTTAACCTTAAAAAAAAAGAAACATAAAAGCTTTTATAAATAGCAGCCATCTGTGATGGGATGCTGGGCTTGGTCCTTGTGCTCACTGGCAGTGATAATGGTAATCATACCTCCAGGCCTTGGTTTCCTCATCTTTAAATAAACCAGACTGGATTACATCACCACTTCTCAACCAGAAGGGCCTGAACCAGTAACGTGAGAGCTGCTTCTCACACACAGGGCCACCCCACCCTGACAAGAGCCAGATGTGCCCAAGACACTCAGGCCTGGGTTACTGGGTGGAAAACACTCATTTCAGGATTTACACCCACCCTGCCCCTCACCAAGTAACCCATGATTCTACTGTGGTCACCTATGACCCTGTATGTAAGACAGACTTAGTTAAAGAAGACAACACAATAAATGAAGTATATTTATTAGGAAACACTTAAAAGACTAACAAGTAGTGCTCTTGCACACTTGGCCCTCGGCCAGACACTTAGCAACTGCACAAGAAAAGGACACCATGACAGAGTCAATGGGATTTTGCTTTCACTACAAAAGAAGTTTTAAGGCAGTTTAACTGGAGGCCACATAACTACATCTATGACCTAAACATAACATTCAAAAATAACATGGTCCTCAAAATGCCCCCAACAAATCACTGACCTCATCAAGAGGACAGTCACTGTCAGGGACAGTAAGAGTCTCAAAAGCAATCTAACATGACCCAGTGTAGACGGCTGTCCAGACCGCCTCGTATAGTTAACACAGGCCGTCGGAGCCATCTGCAACTCTCTGCTCTCACAAATTAGTTCACATAAACATATTACAGTAGCCCAAGAAAGCAAATATACATAGGTGAAAGAAAAACAGGGCTCACTATTTTGTACCACAATCAAGTACAGAGAAAACACAGGGCCAAGCATGGTGGCCACACTGAGACAGGTTAGTGACTTTTCTGGCAGACTCCTCCCAGGCACTGAAATGAAGCTTAAAAATAAGCAGGGGTGAGCTCCGTCTTTCCTTCCGTGGTCACCACCTGGATCAGGCTTCCTGAGCTCGGTCGGTTTTTCCCTGTGATCCAATCATGGAAGGTTCTAAACAAAGAAGAAATGTTTTATATTTTCAGAGCGTAAGTCTGGACCCGTGCATATATTCACATCAAAAGCTTCAGGGGGGTAATATACAGCAGCAGCAGTGAGAAGGCCACTGTGTATCACGGACATATACCCAGGTCCCCAAAGAGTTCAGTACCTTAACTCCTCATCTCTGAAAGGCAGGACTTTCATTTTTGTATGTTTCTTCATGGTTGAAATTCTTCGTAATACAGTAGTATAATTTTTAAGTAATTTTAGAAGATTTTAGTTGGTTAATTCTAAGAGATAGACTTATGCATTGTACAGGCATTCCTCAGTATCTGAAGAGGATAGATTCTAGGCCCCCGAGGATACCAGAGTTGAAGGAGGCTCAAGTCCCTTGTAGAAAACAGCATGATATTTGCATATAACCTACACACATCTTCCCATACACATTAAAATCATGTCTTCATTGCTTGTAGTAATCAATACAGTGTCAGTGCTATATAAATAGCTGTAAGACTGTATTGTTTAGGGAATAATGACAAGTAGAAAATGTGTGCATATGTCCAGTGCAAAAGCTATTCCTTTTCCAATATTTTCTATCTGCAGTTGAATTCGTAGCTGCAGAACCCACAGATACAGATGGTCAATTGCACTTTATACCTTCTCAGAAATTTGAAAGAACCACAATGAAATTCCCTCAAATTATTAGCATATGCTAATTCAAAAATAGTTTTTAAAACAAAAAAATAAGATAAAAAAGAAATTTGAAAGAAAGGATACCCATTCTTTTTTTAGCCTATTTTTAAGGAGCACCCATGGCTGTGCAAAGTAATGGAAAAGTAGACACAAAAAAACTATTACAGGGCTGGCGAAGTGGTTCGAGTGGTTAGAAGACCTGCCTAGCAAGCACAAAGCCCTGAGTTCAAACCCTGGTAACACAAAGAAAAAAACTATTACAATAAAATACGTTAAGTATAAAATGAGGAGTACCTAACATAACCCTATGTAGAAAGGGGCAATTAAGTCTGCTGGGAGGTGGAAAGACCCTCTCTAGGAAGACAAAAACAGGAACAGCATAACAAATTCACAAGGAATAGCAAAAAGTAGATGACAATTTTAAAAAACAAACATTTCCATTGGAACATCACCCTCTTTGAAGGTTCTCTCCTGGAATTTCAAACCTTTACTTGGAAAACACTCAGGAGTTCTTGGGGCATCTGGAGAGCCAGTCTATAACCTCCTAGGTTAGATTTGACTATATTCAAGCCCCCTTTTTAGGGGTTGAACCAGCCAAGGCAGAAGTGCTTGGGTTCAAAACTCAAAGCATTGCTGAAACACTATGTATCATGGCTCCCTCTCTGGAGGCAAAGCAGAGCTTAGTAGCAGGAGATGGCTCTGAGAGAGAGCAGTCACATCTGGATGTTTAGGGTGCAGGGGTTTCTGTGTTTATCTCGCAGGCTTTGAACTGTGTTACTTCTCCTTTACCCCATCAGAAGTTTGGAGTGGATGAGAAGGAGTGTTATTCTAACCGTTTTCTTTCAGTGCTGGGGAGCACTCTACCACTGAGCTTTAACCCCTACCCTTAAATATCATACTAATGTGCTCACAGGCATTTCCAAGCAAATTTCATGCCAGCTTGGATTGCGAATTTTCAAAACACAAATGGGCACACATGATCTCTAGTTCACAGGCTGGCTGTGATAACCTATCCTCTGGGATCTGTGGCCCTGCACACCTTCACACATGGGAACTCAGTTGTTCCATCTAGAGAGCAGGTCCTAGATCAATGTCCCTCTAAGTATTGTTGGGAGTACTGACCTTTAAAATAAAATTTGGTGGACTACAGTGCTTGCCTAGCATGAATAAAGGCCTTGGGTTCAAACCCTAATACCATCTAAAAAAAAAAAAAAAAAAGAAAGAAAGAAAAGAAATTCAAATGCAGTCACAATTCAATGCTTGATGTCTTCTACAATTTCAGTTTTTGTTTGTTCATTTGATTACTTATTTTAACTCAAGCATTCGGCATAATTGGCAACACAAGCAGAAAAAATTGTTAAAAGACCTGACTGGTGGGTAAGACCACAGGCTACAGCCACACTGCCTCAATCAGGTCCTCTAACATGTAATCTTAGGCACCCACAAGGTCTCCAAGTCTCCAAGTCTTACATAAGAACAAAGTCTGCCTTGAGTATTAAATAAGATAATAATGAGGACGTCTTAGAATATTGCTTGGAACATAACAAGTACTATGGAGGGACTTGTTTCAGTCATAAAATACAAATCCCAAATTCCTCCCGATTTAATTTAACATTAGGCCAGACAGCATCCCAAACTCTGCCAACACCTTTTATGGACGTCAAAGCAGCTAACACACTAGCATGGCTGAGTAAAGTCATCTCCCCCCATCTTCTTGGGCCACCTGCTCCAAGGGCAGGGACAGTGACATAGTCATCCCTTGGTGCCAGGACTGAGGCAGCACCTGGCCTGGGCAGGTGCTCAGTGAACACAGGCTTGCTAGAGGACTTTGAGAATCTGAGATTGACTGAAACACAAAAGAGCAAACTGACTCTCCTATGAGCTTTCAAATGCCACCAGATTCACAAACAGTGAATAGGATTTGGAAACAAAGGCCTCCTCCTGCAGGTCTGAGGTGCCAACCTGATGAGACATGTGACCCCAAACTTCCATCCTGTCTTACTCTCACGCAGCAGCCCATGGTTACATTGGCAACAGCAGTAACAGCAGCTGAGGTTTAATGAGCACTTGCTAGGGGTCAGACATTGTGCTAACTGCTTAGCACACACTGCCACATTTCATCTGCCCAACCATTATCACAGACCTCATTATACAGATGGGCAAGCTGAGGCCTAAGGCAGTGACACAGAGTGCTCAGTTTGGTTGAAGAGTGAGGGGAGAAGCCAGGAATTATGGCACTATCAACACCTCCAGTCTAGTGCTCGTCTCTAAATCCAGCTGCCCTAAGATATACATTGATGGGCCACAGATCCTCAAAAGTCCAAGTAACCTCAAGAGTACCTTTGGATCCGATAATTCAAGAGAACACAGACTCGTTTGTGTCCATAAAAGACAGAAAATGGAGGCTAGAAGCTGCTTATTCACTGCCCTTCCTGTGATACTCACTCAACCAGGAATTCTAAGGGTGTCCAGGAGCTGAAGTCAGCCTCAGGCATTGATTTCCTGTTCATCGGGGTATCCAGGATAACCCTAGAAGGCAGAGAGAGCATGTCATTTGTACATCACCTTTCTAGTAACAGATGCCTAGTCCCTGGCCAGAAAAATACAAACATGCAGTCATGAGCCTCTGGCACCAAGTGTGCCATTTACATGGACAGATCAGACAGGACAATCAGAGACCAGGAAGCTGTCCACATTTAACAAAAATCAGATCTGAGTGTAATTCAATCAGGCTCTTTGTGACTCATCCTGGAGGCAGAGAAGAACAAAATGGGAAGAGTCACATTTTGCCTTAGTCACATTTTGCCTTTATTTTAAATATAATCTTTATTGAGGTACAATGCTTTGTTAGGTCTTCATGTAATACCTAAAATGTAGCAGACTTATTTACACAGACGTGTCTGTGTTCTCTTGAATTACCAGTTTTATGTGGAATAATATTCCTCTAAATATGACAATATTAAAATATTAACTTTTAAGTATATGACTGCTTTCCATGAAATCTTAAGATTTGCAGCAAGAGAATACAGAACTCAGATACACAGAAATCTCTCCAAAATGTTCAGACCTCAGGCATCATTCAAAATAGCTATGGGACAGATCAGTTACAGAGCCTCGCAACTGAGGGAACTAGAAAGTCCTTTATAGGACTGAGGTAAGCGGCAAGCCACTTGGTGTTAGAATTCTTCCAGCAAGAAGGAATGTGCCATCTCCAAGGCAGGTGCCTCTGCCTGGGACAGCTGACAGGGGACTTTCTTCATGATCACAGAGGAAAATCTCCCCGTAGTTTACAGTATTTTCCCATATACCCTCCCCAACACTGCTGTCCATGCCTGGACACACACACACACACACACACACAGCCCCTGACTGACCTTATTAACAATGTGAAACAGAACTATATATAGTAAAATAAAATGTGTAGACTATTTTTAAAGGAAGGAGGGAGGGAGGGAAGAAAGGAGGGAGGTAAAGAAGGAAGGAAGGAAAACATAGAAGAGAAAATAAGAAAGAGGCAAAAAAGAAAGACCCAACAGCTAGCCAATCAACCATTCCAGACAGGATAACCTGTCCAGGAAACTTGAAGAAGTACAGCTACAGACTAAGTGTGTTCCTCCTAGATTCCTATGTGAAACTACAGTGTGAAATTCCTTTAGGAGGCAATTAGGTCCACACATGGGATTTAGAGGGAGCCCTTTTGCCCTTTGCCATGTGATGTCAGAGAAGGTACCATCTAGGAGGAAAAAGTTCTCAGCAGACACAGAATCTGCTGGAACCTTGAACTTGGACTTCCCAACCTCCAGAAGTGTGAGCACATTTTTCTTGTTTACAAATTACTCAGCCTAAGCTATTTGTTATCGCAGCAGGACAGACTAAAATAAGCATCTTAAGGGCCTTTGGTAAATTTTAGATCTCAAGATAATGCACAAAAGTCCCTGGTTAAAGTGACTCTCAGACGACATCAACACTCAGCAGTGATTGTAAGGAAATCCCCAACCACGTACGGGAGCACGGCGATAGCTGCAGCCTCAGATGGCATGCCACTGTTCTTCCCTGCGAGGCTCTGGCAGAGCTGATGGACGGCACCCTTGGCCATGCCATAGCCGATCATCCCTGAAAAAGGGAGAAAATAGCTTGGTTACCCCTGGCAGCCAGGGAAACAGCAAGAACATGCAATCTTCTTTTGACAAGGAGCAAAGAGAAGGAGTGGTTGGGGACAGGTGGGCAGAGGGTGTGGCCTCTGGCTTCACAGAGGCCACCAATGTGTTGCTGGCCATTCTTTTCTCTCAGATGACAAGGAGCAGTGGAAAGGGTCCTGGACTTAGAAACAAACAGTGGGCTCTCACTCTTGCTCTACCAACAACTATGAAAGTCAGATTCTCTGGGCCTGTTTTCCCATCTGTAAATAGAAGTGGTAACTCATCTCAATATATTCATACAGCTGCACTGAGGACAACAGGAAAAGGCCACTGGTACTCTGGGGCACACACAGGTGCGGTGGGGTGGATGGAGCTGCCGATCTGACTGGGCAGGGCAGGGAGTGCAGCTTTGTGTAGGAGGGACTCTGCTACCCCCTTGCCTGGGAGGTGTTCTGAAAGGAAATGATGTTTCTCCCACACCCTCCCACCCAGCTCACATCCCTCACATCACGCATGGTCATCTATTAACTTCTCAGTATTCAGAGGTATCTGCTATCTACTGGAGCATATCCTTCCTTATCAGAGAGGGGAACAGCAACCTGTGACATTGCTACAGTTCTGGTCTTGACATCATTCCTTTACTACCACCTGCCATCATCCTGTTGCCTACAAAGCCCAAGTTTGGAAAGAGCTGCCAGGGGTACCTGCTCTTAGACACTAAGATCATCTCTGAGCTTCCTCCACCTGTGGATTCCTAGATTTAGTATTAGGAACATAAGGATATGCAAGGCAGCTCCCTGGTTCCAAGGAGGAATTACAGGGGCAGGATCTAAGTTCAAGGCTAGGACAGGATCTGAGTTCCAGCTGCCAGTCTTCCAAGCTAAATGTAATCCCAGTGGCCAAGTCACAGGGTTTCCTGAGGACACAAAAGAATCTTACAAACTCTAATGGGTGCCTTCATTTCCAGGGAGACACAAATTCCAATTGGCTGGAATTTTAATTATTCTGTTTACCAATGAAGCTGTGATCCAAAGAGTGGTATCTGCTACATTTTTCACTCACTGCTATTAGGAAAGCAGTGGACCATGGGGCCTAATCAAGGTGGTGGGCCTTGACGACCATGTTAAACTCAGGAACAAGTCAGGAACCAGTCTGCTTCATTAAGCCATCCAAGTGCTTCCTAGTGGCTCTTAGGTTCCCAATATTCCAGACAAGCTAACTTTGAAATAATAAGTAAAGCAAAAGCAAGACACAGAAAAGCCTCTAGAGATCCATCAAATTATTATTTTCTAATAATATGTGATTGTACATGTGGGTGTGATGTGGTGCACACAGAAGACCTCCTCCAGAAGGAAGGCCAAGAAGCCGTGACTGGTCGGGCCTAGGGAAGGAGTACCATGGGGACAAGGGGCCTGGAAGGAGCCTTCCTACTCACTGCATTTCTTTTAGTGCAATATGAATGTTTTCTACATGCATTGCTTAGTTTTCCAACTAAAAACTGACCAAGAAAATTATTTGACTAAAAGCTAATACATTGCTGTCTCACTTTCTCCCTTAAGTTTTATTTGCCAAATTCCTAGACCCCAAGCTATCAGCTACCTCCACAAAAATAATAATAATCATCATCATTATCATCATCATCCAAGAAGTGGAATCCTCTTTCCTCTTTGGGCGCACAGTGCATTGCTTAGACTTGAATTTAGCACAGTCTCCCTGCTCACACCTCCTACCTTTCTCTTCCTATAGCAGGCTCTCAACACAATGACTTATCCAACAGGAAATTAATGTGAGTCAGCTCCCTGTATAGCTATCCTTATCTCAACCAGGAACACTTGTTCCTTCCTATTACTGCTTATACTCTCTCTTCAACAAAATTAGAGATAAGGGCAAAATAGTTTCTGCTGGGTATTGAGAGGGTGGGGGGCAGAGGGAGCGGGGGGGGGGAGGGGGTGGTAAAGGAGGGGGTGGGGGCAGGGGGGAGAAATGACCCAAGCCTTGTATGCACATATGAATAATAAAACAGTAAAAAAAAATCGCACGTACACAGACACAATGGTTTAAAGGAGTGTGGTGGGACCTATAGTCCCAGCACTTGAAGTGTGGAACGGGAAGTTAAAGAATTCAAGACTAGCCTGGGCTACACAGTAAGACCCTGTCTTAAAAAATTTAAATAAATAAGCAAACTTCAAAAAAAAAAAAAACAATGACTTATCCAACTAATGATCAATGTTATCATTAGATCAAGTTGTTACCTACTAGCTTCCTAGCCAGGTGGTAGATCAGTCTCATCTGTAATCAAGGGGCACTTGCATTTAATATTCAGGTACCTCTGGTGATGAAAAAGATCAAGCATATAAACAGAGGGCTTGACCCAATCAGCCCAGCACCTTAGAGGTAGATACCTGAAGTACTTTATGCTTTGTTAAAACAAGTTTACTGAGGTATAATTGATGTACAGTAAGCTGCACATGTTTGACACATTTTTAGCACATTCTGACAAAGGTATGTATTCCCTCTAAGTCCTTCTCTCCTGACACTTTTCAGTGAGTAGTTGCTGACTGAAGTAAGGGCTGCTTTTGTTAGGGTAGATCTGTCTGCCCCAGAGGCATGAGGCAGTAATGAGATCCCTCTCCTCTCCGTGTTCCCTACAGCACCCACTGCAGCACCAAAAAGCAAACCAAAACAAACAAACAAAAAAAGGTTAATCACCATTGAACATCTCTCCACATTCAGAAAACCACTGTTCTTTCCAGAGGTCAGCAGCCTCCTTAAAACACCACCAGCACAGACTGTGTAAGTCCAATGGCTGAGGAGGCGTTCCAAGAGGAGGTGCCCAAGAACCAATCACAAACTGGCTTCAACAACAACCGTAAATTGCAAAACAGGGTCAAGGTCTCAAACATCATTTAGAAGCACAAGAAAAGCACTTCACCGTCCTTGACTTCTCTATTTAATCAGGGGGCAGGAAGCATAAAAACACAACAAACTCAGCAAAGTCCCAGGGCTCTCTTTTCATTCCGTTCAAGCAACACAAGAGCAGAGAATCTGTGGAAGGAAAGACACAAGCATCCTGCAGCCCTAATGTCTTAATTCTGCAGAATGGCACTTTTGGAGGGCACACAATGCAGGTAAGAGATCACTTGCAAGGTACAAAAAAAAAAGTGCACCTAAGTAAATGCTTTCTTCCAAATTATAAAATGATCAATGTGGCCCCTAAAAAGTGATTTCCAATCCCAGCACAGATCTTTAAATGGCAAACAAAGGTGGTACCCGTCATTTTAGCATACTTCACTCTGCAGAGAACAGTCCACAAACATAACCTGGGAAATAGGAGAGTGGACATCTACTCAGTGTCTTTCCAAGTGAAAAAATTTTCAACTTTGAAAAAGTCCTCTTGGGTTTGAGGGCTTATTATGCCTGATTCTTCATTTCAAATTATAGACAGATTATCCCAGATTTGAGGGGATCTGCACCAAGGTTAAAGGATCTCATGACTCAAAATAGTTTAACATCTAGCCTAAGAATTTTAAAATGAACAAATCTGCCAGATGGTGGTGGCCCACACCTAATCCTAGCTACATGAGAAGCTGAGATCAATTAGGAGGATTGTGATTCACAGCCAGCCTGGGCAAATAGTTGTCAAAACCACCCATCTCCAAAATAACCAGAGCAAAATGGACTGGAGGTGTGTCTCAAGGGGTACAGCGTCTGCCCTAATCCCAGTTTAAATCCCAGTCCCACCAAAAACAACAACAAAAAAAGAACGAACTTAATACTGGAAGCAGAGGTGTTGGGAAAAAGTAAGCCTGGAGCAGATAGTAACAGATCACCTTTACTGCTGATTCTGTAATTCCTTTCTGAGCCATTTACATCCACTAAGATGTGCACAGCCACATTATCATATAAGGAGAGATTATCATTCATCCACATTTTACAGATGACAAAACTGAGGCTCAGGGTGGATAAGTAACTGGGCAAATATGTGACAGAGTGTAAGTTTCAGAGCCATAACAGAAAACCAGCCAAGGTGCTTCTACAGCCTGCAGTCTTAACCACTATCCAAATATGTACACAAAGAAGAATTTGGATGCTTCTCAACTTACAATGGGGGTATGACCCAATAAACTCACGATAAGCTAAAAATACAGAGGGTCTAGAGAGGGTTTGGTGGTGCAATCCTGTAATCCCAGCACTTGGGAGACTGAGGCAGGAGGATCACGAGTTCCAGGCCAGCGTGGGCTTCATAGCAAGACCTTGTCTCAAAGAAAGGAAAAAGAAAATGCATTTAGTACACCTAACCTACTGAACATTGTAGCTCAGCATGGCCTGCCCTAAACATGCTCAGAACACTTACAGTAGCCTATAGCTGGGCAAAACCATCTAACACAAAGCCTATTTTATGCCACGTGTTGAGTATCTCACATAAGTTACTGAATGTGGTACTGAGAGTGAAAAACAAAATAGCTACATGCTTTCTCACCATAACACAGACAAAAAATCATAAAGTGAACCATCATTAAGTTGGGGACTATATGTACTTACAAACAAAGGAAAACAGGAGATTTTGTCCTTATGAAAAATTAGTCTCTCAGTCCTAGGGTTTTGGTTTCTAAATGTCAAACTATTACTCACTTCTCTACCTTCTAGCACCTCTGCCCTGTGTCTAGAGGCTTTTAGCCTCTAGAAATGTGAGAAAATAATCAGATCTCAACCAAACAGACATCTAACATTTACACAACTTTAATTACTGCAATAGCCATGGACTTGTTATGATTTTATGCTTTGAGAAATGCAGTAAGAAAAATGGTAAGAAATTGCTAATTAGTAAGAGCCTCACAATTCAGTGAGTTACATTAAAACTGAAAAGGTACCCAAGGTCTCCATCACTTAGATCCAAAAATAACTGCCTTATAAAAAAAAAAAATATTTAACTGAGGTAGTAGAACACTTTCTTCCTCCCTCTGCCCCTACTAAAATTCTTTTAGCCCTGTCTCTAGGGGAATGTTATGATCTAAAATACAACCCTCCAAAATTCATATGTTGAAGTCCTAATCCCAGGTATCTCAGAAAGCGACTGTATTTGGAGACAGGGTCTTCAAAAAGATAGTTAAATTTAAGTAAGGTCATTAGGATGGGACCCTAATCTAGTATGAATGGGGTCCCTATAAGGGAAAATTAGGACACAGGCACATACAGAGGGATGACCACATCAGGGAGCAGTGAAAAGACAGTCATCTACAAGGCAAGGAGAGAAGACCGACCCTACCAACATCTTGATCTTGGGCTTTTAGCCTCTAGAAATGTGAGAAAATAAATTTCTGTTGTTTAAGCCCAGCCTGCAGCAGGCCCAGCAAACAAATACAGGGAAATAAAAAATGCACAGGAAACTGGAGGTCTTCGTGATAGATGGAAGTAGCATGCAATTTAGAAATGATCAGGGATTTGGTTCAAAGTATGTTTGCAACTTATCTATAATATAAATCCAGACAATTTACTTAACTTTCTAAGTTTTGGTTAAATAACCTTTAAATCGAAAGTGATAAAAATGATGCCTGCACCAGGTTTAAGAGAGAACATATGTGAAGTGAAGGGAGTGAGTATAGTTACGACCTAACATTTGAGGTGAGCACAGTAAGATTTTCCATATGCTGGACACTATTTACACTATCAACAGCTCTACAGCTCTGTGCTCCTCAAGTTAGACATTATTGTCACTGTTTTACAGTTAAGGAAACTATAGCAGAAATCTGGACAGAGAAATCAGGGTGAAGAATCTACCTCCAAACTCCCTCATCCAAAAGCCCTTGCTATTGCCAGCAGCCAAGCTACTTCCCTGGGATAAGGGATTACAAAGCAATGATAATAATGTTTGTTAATTAATGTGTATCTTCTACATCATTCATTCCTGGGTGGATCACAGATAAATAACCCAAATGAGAGTGTCAAATTGCAGTATTCCTTAGCACAGGAATAGGACAAGAAATGAAAATGAAAAGATCAGGACTCTTTCCCTAAAAAGATTCAGGCAAAAAAGAGAGTAAAATCCATCCAACTGTAGAGTCCCTGAGACGGTAAACAGCTTTACTGTTCCTCATCCCATGAAGTGACCAGCAGCCCCAGAAAGCAAGATAAACATTCCCACTTCACAGATGGGAAAATAAAGTCTTACCAGGAGTCCCATCCAGGGCAGCCTTGGCACCAGCCAAGGTCAAGAGGCCTCCTTCCTTTAGGTGCTTGGTGGCCAGGTGGCTGGAGATGGTGGATGTCCACATGCTCTGCTTCCACATCAGGTCACAGTTTTTAAAGAGAGCTGAGCAGGGGAAAAACGAGGGCTCATCATTCTGAGAAGAAACAGAAAGCTGACCCCAAATCATGCAACTCTACACTCAAGGAAACACTCCCAGGCCCCACTAGTCTGTGTATAACAATATCTAACACAAACATACGGGGCTCAGGGGTCAAAGACACCAGCTAAAATCCAGGCCATGTGATTAGCTTCCTCACCTGCTAATTTTAGCCATAAATTTTAGCCAAGAAATTTGAGATTAACAAATCTGCCAGAATGGCATTAATTCAGAAATTGTTTTACTTGATGAAGAACATTACATCTATAAGAAGAACATATATATTTATGTCAGTTTTTACCCACGATAAAAATCCAAAGGACTATTACTACATAACCATAAAGAGGGCTTTTACAGAGTTGCCTTCCTTATGACTGGCCGGTTAACGCCAGCTTTAAAAGAGCTGAAATAACAACTATTTCACGCTTGTGAAATAGTTTCACTCTCTAGCCCTACCAGAGAAGCAGGAGAAACAAATGATAACATATGTCACACAGCTGATCAGGCAACTTAGACTCATGAAACCTGTATCTAGAAAGAATGTCCTGTTGATATGGGAGGAGTAGTCAGTAGAGACCAACCCAGGTATGAAACTATCCTGCTAAAAAGGACTAAGGGGAAAAAAACTGACACAGCCACATTTTTACTTTTTGCTTCCAAAATACACAGAAAGTGGGGTGTAGTGTAGGTCTACGATCCCATATACTTGTAGGGGAGAGGCAGGAGTATCTTGATTAGAGGCCAAGTGGAACAGATGAAGGCGGGAAACCCTATCTGAAAAACAAACTAAAGCAAAAAGGACTGGGGGCATGGCTCAAGCAGTAAAATGCCTGCTCACGGACCTGACTTCAAACCCCTGTACCAACCAAAAACTAAAAATAATGGAAGGTTATTTTTTGATCACCCCACAAAATGGCAATCACATATTTAAATATAGCTCACAGAATTTCAATTCCTCTTTAAATGGCTTCAGCAGATAAATGTAAAAGGGATGATGAAATTAGGAAACCATCATTTTCCAACCCTTGACGTGATAAATGCTTCAGACAGGGATTATGGATAAATGCATTCAGCGGAAAGTGTTAGGGAACAGGACATGCACACAGCACAAGGCACATCCCCCAGGTCACTTACTCACTGAAAACAGAAAATTATACCTTTTCAGTGGAAGTCTGGCAGCTACCACCTTAGCCAAGCATCAGATTTTTCATTCTCATAGGCAGGGCAAGCTGGGCTTCCAACGTGATGTAGTATGAAGTACATGATATCACTTAGGAACAATCCTCACCACAAAAATGTTAAACCTGGCCAGGCGCCAGTGGCTAACACCTATAATCCTAACTACTAGGGAGGCAGCGATCAGGAGGACCAAGGTTCAAGGCCAGGCCAGAGCACATAGTACTCGAGACCCTATCCTGAAAATCCCCAGCACAAAACAAGGCTGGCAGAGTGCTTCAGATGGTAAGAGTGTCTGCCCACCAAGTGTGAGGTCCTTCCTTCAAACCCCAGTACCGCAAAAAAAAAAAAAAATGTTTTAAACTTCTAGTTCACAGTTCACAGGAAGTATCAGGGATAGAGGACATTTTGTCAAATGACACTTTAAAGGAAACAAATTCAGAATCTGGGACGGTCTATATGAAAACTGCCTTGGACTCACCAGATAGTACCATGTGGGGAGGACTAAGGACAGTAACACAGTGCAATTAGACATTATTAACTTTATAGAGTTACTGTTAATTTCCTTAGGCACAACAGCACCATGATAATGTAGAACAGGCTTACTCTTTGGTGAGATGCATGTTATAAAACACAGTGAAGTGTAGCTTACTTCAAATAATTAACAAAAACAGTATGACAGTGGCCACATGTGAGTCAGAGTGCAGGTACAGCAAATGTTAACGATTACTGAATCTAGATGGAGGGCCTACTGGTGTTCATTATATTGTTTGTTCACCTTTTCATGTTTGAAAATGTTCACAATAAAAAGTTGAAAATGTAATCAAACCTAGGAAAATCTCAATTTGGAGTTCTTTTGGCCTTCAGAATACGCTTTCCAGTTCACAAACATCACCCAATTCCTGAATAGAAAAGCTCTGTAAGGCTGGAGCAGAAACAATACTGATTTCATTCTGCCTCCACTTTGAACTTCAAACTCAATGTCCCCCTCCCTTCACTTCCTCAGTGAGCAATGAAGTGTTAATCACTACGTCACAGAGTGCTGTGATCAAAATGATGTGCTCCCCAAAGTTCATGTGTTGGACTTAATCCCCAGTGCAACAGTCTTGAGAGGTGGGGCCTTTAAAATGTGGTATCTGAGAGCTCTTCTCATGCACGGGTTGACATCATTGCTGCAACAGTCATGACAAAAGCATGAGTTCCACCCCTCTCCACCTCCACCTCCACCCCCACCTCTCATGCTCTCTTGACCTTCCACCATCCACCATGGGATGCTGCTGCAAGGAGGCCCTCACCAGGTACCAAAACTTTGACTTTGGACTTCGCAGACTATCCAGTCTTGGGATTCAGTTATATCAGCATAAAACAGACTAAGACAGAGGATTAGTAAAGATTCTATGAGACAAAGAGAAAAACAGCTGACCTGGCACCTAGTCTATATGCAATCCAGTCAGCTGGACGCAGAGCAGAAAGAATGATTAACTTGGACAAAAACTCACACTTGGATTTGGCGTTGCCCCCGGCCCATCCTCCAGCCACACAAAGAATTGCATCCACCTTCTCATCACCCAAGAGCTTTCCAACCTCCGCAGTCACCTGAGCAAAGGCACAAAAAGATACGTAACTGTAGGGTAACCTGAAACAGGCTGGCGCCCTCATGGACACCATGGTTTCTTTTTCCCTTCCTTTTAAGCCTGGCAATTGACACAGAAAATTATCAATGCAGGACTAATTTCTGATGAGCCATTTCAGACAGTGAGGCCCAACTAAGCTTCAATGTACTTTTCATAAAGCAATCTAGAGCCACCTCACAAGCATTCTAAAAAGTGGAGACATAAGCCCTCTCTCAAATAAAATGAAGAAATGAGGGAAAGGTTAAAAAAAAATTACAGCTAACATTCTGTTACATTCTTTTCCTGAGTTTCCTCACCAGTCACAGAGTCATAAGAAGTTCAATTCTTCTCTGCCCCCAAAACAAAATCCCCTTTAACAAGAGACTGCCACGCAAAAATCGAGAACAAGGAAAAGTCAACAGCAAATGCTGGTAAATACTGAGTGCATGATAGTTCATTTTAATGCGCTCTCTCTCTACATCTACATTTAAATTTCTAAAGCACTGAGAATATATTTGAACCTTCACATCTCATTGTAATTTGTTCAAAGAACAGTCTGGCAAGACAGCCATGCTGCCCAGCAACCACAACTCCTATTTCCCTGAAATGGCTGAGGGGGTGCCTCCCACGTGCTCCCTTAGATCCATCTTCTGAAGACTTACATTAAGACCCAGTGTCTCTGCGGGAACACTGCAGTCCATTCCTTCTTACGCAGAAATTTTTGAGGACTCACCCAGCTCTTTCCAAGAGAATGCTTTGCCAGTGGAAACCAATCTTCCCTCTCCCTGCACACACCTGATGCTTTTCTTTAAAGATGATTCCTGAATTTCCCTTGGCCTCTACCTAGTCCTGATGTGTCCTTCCTCCTATGACCTTGAGTTGCCCAGGAGGCCCTCACTTCTTCTGAAGTATGTCCTGCTATCCAGAGCCACACCCCAGCCGCCAGAGGTTGGGCCAGCTACACAGAACCCATATGGAAGTGTGGAGCCAGCAGCAATTACACAACCATTTGACTCAGTTTTCTCTTCACAACATCTGTGCTTTATTCTTACAATAAAATTAAAGTAAGTTTTAAATTCCCTCCTCTTAGATTTTGCTCTCTTCCCAAGTCTTCTAAAGATTTGATGCCTTTCTCCTGCATCTCTTGTTACTAGTTGAATTTCCTGCCCAGGGGGTCAATTTCCCATGCATTTGGATTGAATTTACCCTTGTGGCGCTTTAAAAACCAAAACCTGAGTATCATGCTGTTTGTCCAGAAATTCATAACAGAGACAGGGAGCAGTGGAAGGGGGTAGAGGTTATAAAAGCTAAGCTTATAACAACTAAGGCAGTTCTCCACCTTTGTCTGGCTGGTGCACTCTACAGTCAAATCTCAGGTGGGGACAACAGCCACATTCAAACACCACCATGAACATCAGAACCCGCCATTAATAAGAACTAAGAAGATACTGGTGAGACAGGTCGCAGGAACCCACAGCAGGAAGGGCTGTGCTCTCCATAGTGACACTGCCCTTCCAGTCAGTTTTACCTTTCATTATTTTGTCCACATGATGCTATTTTTCAGAGGCAGTCTGGCTTAAAGATTAAGGGCACAGTCTTCAAATCCCACTGCCCAGACTCCAATCTTGGCTATGCTACCTCATTTGATCCTAGCCAAAAGCCAGTATCTCTCTGCCCTCATACTCTACATTTCTGAAAGTACAATAAAATTAGAACCTTTGTTTTGAGTATTATGAATACCGGGTACATTAATGTAAAGAAAGCACTTAGAATGGTGCCTGGCAACTATGAGGCTGTATCAACTTTTACTATTAAACTTATTAAGGTGAATCTGTATCACTTATGTATAGCAAACATTAGGATCATATTATGTAGAGTAAGAACAAAAACACTTGGTCATCCATATCTGAGGGCTCCACATCCAAAGAGTCAACCAAACTCAGATAGAAAATACTCAGGGAAAGAAAACTGCATAGTTAGTAAACATGCATGCTTTTTTTTTTTTCTTTCTCATTATTCCCTGAACAATACAGTAAAACAACTCTTATCATAGCATTGACAATGTACTGAGTATTGTAAATAATCTAGAGACAACTTAAAAGTATACAGGAGGATGTGTGGACTGTATGCAAATAATGCACCATTTTATATAAGAGACTTGAACATTCACAGATGTTGGTATCCACATCTTCAAAATAGCCAGGACAAAACACCACAGGGAGAGCACACGCAAATGAAAAACAGACCTATTTACAGACCAAGTTCTACCACTATCTTCTTGGCCATGTCACTTAGTGCCTGAAACCCAATGTCTGCAGCTATAAAATAGCTTATCACCTGCCTGATGAGTGATTGTAGAAACACTATGCACTCTACAAAGAAGGATGTAGAGATTTCCTTGGGAACGAGTGCTGAAGCATTGGGCACAGCCACATTAAGCAGAGTCCTTCCAGCAGCTGGCTGGAAGGGCTCCTCCAGAAGTACAATTGTTTCAAAGCATCTATGATATTTACACCAACGCATCATCAAATCAGTAGCAATGCGCCTTTTGGGGAGTAATACTATCTTGGGAAGAAAAGTGAGTATTTCACAGTTTATCTATGTGTTTGTGTAGTTTTGTTTGGTTTCTTGTTTTACAATATGCATATGAATTTACAATTTAAAATAACTTGTTCTAGGTTCAAGAAACTGAAAGGCCAGATTCTCAGTAACCTGAAAGCTTGGAGCTAGTGTTTGGTTTATAATTGGGAAGCCGATGAATTAACTATAAGTGGATATGTTTTAAAAAAGTATATTGATGTTTGGGTGTAGATGGAATTATAGTACATAGAAGAGGAGGGTGTATATGTTATTTTAGATGTGTATTTGTGAGTGTATGTATTATGAAAGTACATGTATACTCTGTATGACTCGAACAACTTCAGGGTCTGAATCCTTATTCATTTCACACACCTGTCTTGAGGGAGAGAAGCACTATGCAGACAGATAAGGGACATACAAAGAATTTACCTAGAAGGTAACACCCACGCACAGGAAATCAATGTGAGTCAATGCCCTGTATAGCTATCCTTATCTCAACCAGCAAAACCCTTGTTCCTTCCTATTATTGCTTATACTCTCTCTACAACAAAATTAGAAATAAGGGCAAAATAGTTTCTGCTGGGTATTGGGGGGGCGGAGCGGGAGGGGGTGGAGTGGGTGGTAAGGGAGGGGGTGGGGGCAGGGGGGAGAAATGAACCAAGCCTTGTATGCACATATGAATAATAAAAGAAAAATGAAAAAAAAAAAAGAGTCTGAACCCATCTATTCTCAGGGTGAAGAGTAAAAAAACTACAGACAATTGGCAAGGAGACTTCCTGCTATCACACCAAGAATTCTTCATTGGGAATGACTAGAAAGCCAGCTCAATCCAGAGCAGATGCTACCCATGCTCACCAGTTCACATCCTAGAGAAGGCTTAAGAGGTACTTAAGCCTCTTTCAACTGTACTCAAAATTGCAATTAATTAAAGACAACAAAAAACTGGTTTTAAAAAGAATAAAATAACCTAGTCAGGTGCTGATGTCTCACACCTATCATCCTAGCTACTCAGGAGTCAAAGATCAGAAGGGTAACGATTCAAAAGCCAGCCCAAACAAAATGTGAGAGTCTATCCACATTTTGTGACACACAAAAAAAAATGACTGGTGGAGTGGCTTAAGTAATAGAGCGCCTGCCTGGCAAGCATGAGGCCCAGAGTTCAAACCCAAGAACTGCAAAATAAATAAAATTTGAAAATAAGAAAATAATGTGCTGTGTTAGTACTCATGCTCCACTTTTTAGAGTATGTCCAAATAATCAGATGTAGAGACAAAGATCACACCATTCTTGATAAATAGTAAAAAACAAAAATAAAAACCTACCAATAAAAAAACCTACACTTTTCAAGCAGTAGAGCGCCTGCCTAGCAAATATGAGGCCCTGAGTAAAAAAGTAAAATGAAAAAAATTAAAAGACCTACATCTGAAGTATACAAAAAGCAGAAACTAAACTGTGGCCAATTCACAGAATGAAAAATTATGTATCTATAAACAGGTTTTTTTAAATTAAAGAGTAAATTTTTAAAAGCCTAACCATAAAATATAAAATGCAAAACTATCTCTACTTAATGTATAATAAACTGAAAATAAAATTTTAAAAATTATCTCTACTTGCAAAAGTAGTAACATTTAAGAAAGACAAGAAAAGGGAACGAAATGTTAACAATGGGCTGGCCAGAAATGGATTCTATAATTTATCTTTGTAAATTTTTTTTCACTTTTTCCAGGTTTTCCTCCTTGAGCACAAATGGCTTTCGTATTAGAAAAACAATAATTGAAGGATCAGACCATGGCTCAATGATAAAGCACTTACCTAGCATGCACAAGGCCTGGGTTCAATCCCCAACACCACAAAAAAATGAATAATTGAAAAAAATAAAAGAAAAATACATAGCCAGTAGAACCTCTTCTCCAGCTCCCCAACCCCATCCCTGCCACAATGTCTGGAGGATATTTCTAAAAGTACCTGGTCAGCCTGCTCAGTAAATGAGTCTGTCATTTTAACAATGACACTGGCACTGGCCTCTTCGTTCTCCACCACATCAATGCTGGCGACCCACTGGAGCAAAGAAGAAAATAGTTTTGGTCAAGAAACAATGAGTTGCAACTCTCTTAAAGATCCACACCTAGAAATGGAAGGAGTAGAGAAAGTTAAAAGGCTTAAAGGTTGAGTATCCATTATCTGAAATGTTTCGGACCAGAAGTGTTTCAGATTTCAGGTATTTCTGAATTTTAGAATATTTGCATATATATATAGACTATTTTGGGGATAGGGCCCAAGTCCAAACACAAAATTCATGTTTCAAATATACTTTATACCTTTTATAACCTGAGGTAATTTCTACATATTTTTAAATAATTCTATGTATAAAACTAAGTTTCATGTTATGAGCTTCCAAAAAGCTTTAGATTTGGTACCAGAGTGCAGCTATTCAGTCACACAGCACCTGCCTTGCATGCTCAAGAACTCCACCCACCAGCCCCACACACACACAAAAAAAAAAGGTTTGGATTTCAGAACATTTCAGATTTTTTGGGCTTAGGGATGCTCAAAATGCAAATGAAAACTCACAAGAAAAAGGAAGTAGCAGCCGACCTCTTCTTACACACCTTACAGCCCACCCTGCAACCCCAAACTCCTTTCTCCACCCCATCACTTCTCAAGGACAAACCCCACACTTCTACAGAAACCTGAAGACAGCCAATCTTTTGTAAAGGGTCAGACAGTGATTACTTTAGACTTTGCTGGCTGTATGGTTTCTGTCACAAATATTCAAGTCTGCTATTATAGTAGGAGAGCACAGCTACAAGCAATGGGGAGGTGGAGGGCACAGCTCTAAGTTCCATCCAGTAAATCTTCAGATGAGATATGAATGTCATATAATTTCCACATCACAAATTATTTTGATTTTTCCTATCCATTTGAAAATGTAAAACCTTTCTTGGCTCTTGGGCTATATATAAACAGGTGACAACCAGGTTCTACCCAGTTTTGAGGACCCCTGCCCTACAGCAGAGAGGGAGGGGTTAAGAGTTTGGGAATCAGATATGGATCGGAATGCTGGCTGTGCCAGACTGGCTTTCTCATCCTCAAGCTGGCAGTCTTCTTCACCAAAAAGCAAACTGGTAATGATTAATAGGGTTAAAATTAATTAAATGAGATGGAGGGTGACACTGGGTTCTTACTTAGAAAGCTCTGGGATCCTTCAATCCGAAAGCCCCAGAAGTCAGCATCTCTACCCCAAGCTGTAATCACATCATCAGCGACACTCCTTACCTGTAACAACACTCATTCCCCACCAAGCCATGGGGACTACTACTGAGACAAACAAGTCTCCATTTCAGGTCCCCCTAGGGTGCCAAGAGGAAGAGGAAAAAGACAACTAGTAAGAGGTCAGTTAGCTCACCAGACTCTACCAGAGTCCAAGGTAAACCAAGTGGTCACTGTATTGAAGCTTCTAGGAGGGTTAAATGAAGTCAGAAGTCTTGGAGAGGTTCTGATATGTAGGAGCACAATGCCTGACCCCAAGCAGACAGTCCTTCAGTGCTGTCCTGTCCCCACCCTGCATCTCTGCAAAGCTGGGAAGACACCTTCATTAGTCTTCCCAGGTTCTGAGAGGTGGGTAGCAGGAGAGGGTGGTGTGTTTGGAATCCTTTAGAAGTGTATTCCTGCACCAGACTTGAAAAGAAAATCCTGGGACCCTCTTTCTGTTCCCAAGGAGCATCCCTTACCCAGGCTGCTGGGTCAACTGCCACCTAAGGTCCCAGGAAGGTGCCTCAGCGCTCAGGATGGACTCTGAACGTGTGACAAGTGTCCCACTGTCTCACTTAATCCCCACAACCCCCGCCGGGTCAGCGCTACCACAATCTCCAGTTTAAGGATAGGGAAACCGGGGTCGTGGGACGAGTCCTTGCGCAGGCCCAGGGGCACCTCGCCCCCACCCGCCCCCACCCCCACCCCCCACCCCTACCCCGCCCCCACCCCCACCCCCCTGGCGGGGCAAAGGCGCGTTGTGCGCACGCACTCGGGGACTGGCCAGACCTGTGCGTGCACGTGCAAGACCGGGGTGCCCCGGGGACCCCCGGTTCCTCCAGACTGCCCCCCCCCGCGGCACCGCAAGCCACTGCGCCCGCAGTCCCTACACACTGCCCGCCCCTCTAGGCGAAGACCCCCCCGCAGCGGCTTTACCCAGTTGCGGGCCCGGAAGGCCTGCACGCAGCGGGAGCCGAGCGCGCCCCGGCCGCCGTACACCAGCACCCGGCGCGCCTCGCCCGCCGCCGCCGCCATCCTGCTCCTCCCGCGCAGCTCCGATCGCCCGACCCCCGCCAGGAGCACCGCCACGCGCCGCTGCTCAGTCGACCCCAGGCCTCGCGTTCTGGACTGCGCCCCGCCCCGGGGCGGGGACATCGGCCAGCCACGCCCCCTTCCGTCAGTCGGCCAATAGGTGCTGGGCAATCTGGACGTGCCAGTGCGCGAGTGCCCCGCCCCTCAGCTCATGGCTGAAAGTCCATTGCAGACACTGGACCAGCCTCTTAAAACATGCTTTTCCTCTAAATAGGAGTCGGGACTCTGCCCGGACCCACGGGTCAATAGCTGCATGGCCTGAGCAATTTCCTTGACTGCTCCGTGCCTCAGTTTCCTCACTAGTAAAGCAGGATTAATATAGTCCCCTTAGGGTTTGGAGAAGGATTGTAAAAGGGTGTGTAGAGTAAGAGCACTGTGTGTGGCAAGCAGTAGGAGCTCAATAAATGACCATTGAGCTTTATTAATATTATTGATTTTACCAACATTTCCAACTGTTAGAGTTCACTGAACCTCTTAGAGATTGTGAGGGTGGGAGATAATTAAATACCTGTTGGGGGACATTTTTTATTTTGTACTATCGTTTATTAGTTGTACAGAGGGACTTCATTGTGACATGGGTTCATATTTTAAAATTAAAAAATTGTCAAAACGAGTGACACAAAATCTGTAGTAGACTACATTTTAAGTGTTTGAACTTCACAAATTAATGCCCTTAAGACAAAGATTACCATGGAAAGTTGTATTACAGGATTTCTAAAAATTATTAGTCCATACTGCACGACAGGCTTTGGTCTGCTAAGGGCAAAAGTTTAGCCATGTGAAGCCTTAGCCCTGTCCGTGGACCTCTGCAGTCACATGCAAGCCCTCACCTGACAAGAATATCCGAGATCCGTCCTCAGTCACAGAGCTTGTCGTTTCCTCCCTTGCAGATTAGTTTTTTCTGCTCGAAACCTGTGTCTAAAAAAGTGTTTTGCAACTGCAGAATTACTGACATTTTGGACCAGGTAATTGTGAAAGGGGCAGTCCTGTGCATATGGGAAATCCCCTGACCTCTATCCACTAGATGTCAGCAGCAGGCCCCTGGCCCGGTCGTAGCAATCAAAACTATCTCTAAATATTGCCAAATGTCCAATAAGGGGCAAAAAATCACCTTTGGTTGAGAACCAGCACTCTGTGCTGTTGTAATCCTCTTGATAACAGTCCTGTATGAAGCATCTTTGTGCATCTCCTGCCCACATCCAGTGCCTTGCAACAGCAGACCCAGATTCTACATGTGCCAGATAAGACATGCAGACATACGTCATTAGAGAACAGGATGCAGCCAGCACCACACTGTATTTTATTGAAGCTCCATTATAAAAAATAGAATTGCTTGGGGGTGGGGGCAGGGGGGAGAAATGAACCAAGCCTTGTATGCACATATGAATAATAAAAGAAAAAAAAAGAAACACAGGCAATGAGATATTTTACTTTTCATCAGAACTCATTCCTATTTTCACTTGAGTATTAAGATAACTAAAGAAAACCTAATCACCTACTTTATTTGAAAAACCATTACAAATCACCCAGATTTTAAAATCCTAGCAATAGATTAGTCACAATAATAGATATAATCTAGACATCTAACTTATTTGTCCAATGTGACTTGTGAAAGAATAAAATGACGTATTTCTCTTTGTCACTTGTCAACTGTGAAGAATTTGTTTCAATTTTAAAGACTGACAAATGGTGAGAAGTATGAGAGCCTGTCCTGACAGGCAACAAATAAAGCATTTATTAAATAAAAAAAAAATAGAATTGCTAGGGACCCATTTATTTAGCGACCTCCATAGGCCAGGCCCTGTGCTAACTAGTCTGAGTATGCTGGCTCATCTTACTGCACAGCAATTCTATGATGGGTGAGAAAGCCAAGGCCACTCTCCCCAAAGAGCAGACATTTGAATCCAGGTCTTCAATAGCTAGAGTTCCTCTTAACCAGGCCTCCTATTAGCATGGCAAGGGCCTGCTGTTATCCATCGAGTTTTTCTGAAAAAATGCAACTCCAGGGTATGGCACACATCTGCCTTCTGAAAAGAAGGAATGTTAAGAATGTTAGCTAACATTATGGGATATTTACTAATATGCCAAGCAGTCCTCTGAGCCTTTGAAATGTATTATGTCATTTATTGTCAGAAAAACATTTGTTATTTCAAGGTCTTTGTGATGAGGATGAGCTGTCACATTTTGAAGACCTAAATTCCAGCCCCAGGGCTGACAGTCACTTTGTGGGTGAAAGAAACAGCTGGACCAGAGCCCCTGCTAGCACTAAGGGTGACCTGACCATTGGGGACGACAGAGCATGTGGTGAAGCTCTTTGTACCTGGCAGAGCCCCATGCAATCTCCAGAAATATTGTCCCTTGTTTTCATTGTCAGTGCCTACTGCGGTGAAACCCTGTTATCAGGATGGACACTGTCACTTCCATAGAATGTCCCTCTGTCCACTTGGCACACCCCAGAATGGATCCCAAGACTCCTACTGGTGAGCAATGCAACTTTCAGAACCTTCTTCAGGCTTCTGTGGCCAGAAAAGAAATTTTACTGTTCCACTCTTGCCCAATTTTGTGTGTCAGAAGTATTGACAGAGTGGCTTTTGCCAGTCTCACAAAAATGTTAAATTGATACTTAGTAATACATTGAGTCAAAATTTAAAAAGCCATAGTATAAAATAGGAAGTAGGACACTTTCCTGTGTCCACAGACTAAGAGGAAAAGATAGATCTCCACTTTCAGAAGAGATAAATAGGGCTGAGCACGGTGGCACACACCAGTAATCCCAGAACTCTGGAGACTGAGGCAGGAGGATCCTCAGTTCCAAGCCAGCCTGTCTCAAAAATCCAAAAAGAAGAAGGGCTGGGAGTGTGGTTCATGAAGCACAACACCTGTTTAGAAATAATAAAGTCCCAGTACCATCAAAAAAATAAAAAAGAGAGAGAGAGAGAGAAATAGTCCAGCAATGTGACTTACTATTTGCTAACTTATTAAAAAGCCACTTTTCTGTCCTATTTCAGATGCAATGAAAGGTGAGGGCAGGGGAGGAATGTTAAATAATGATGTCGAGGCTGATGGACACAAACAGATTCATGTTGCAGATTCGAACAGTGATCAATCCATAAAGAATCGCGTGTTAGTAACGGCTCTGAGGAGTCTGACAGCAGTGACATTTTAGAGAAAGAAATGCCAGGGCATGCATCAAAGAGATGGGCATTTGATACTGCGCGCTGTTGCCAACATTCAAGTGCTTATCATTCTGTTTCTGTTTTCCTTCTGCCCTGTGCATCTTTTGAAACTGGTTAGCATCTCTTTATTGTCAGGTCTACCTGGATGCACTTGTTAATAACTCCCTGGTCATTATGAGGTCTACACCAGGGTCATTTAAATACTTGGAGCAAAGAAAAATTAAACCCTCTGCTGAAACCCTAGTCTGGTGGAACAGATAAGGTTACTTGCTTCAGTAACACACACTGCTCTACGAGTCAGGCGAAGGTTGTCTGCAGAAGCTCGATGTGTGAATGTAGTAAACACAGAGCGATGGACTCAAAAGCTTGAAATGGCATGTTCAGAAGAGCCAGCCTTGGAGTGGGGTATTGCCAAGTGTCCAGAAGATGTCAACGACCTGCGTGGCTGCCCAGAGACCTGGAGGATGACCTGCACCCACTAGCATGCCTGGATGGTTCAAAAAGACGTGCTATGGGCTGGCATCCTTATTCAGCTTCTCCTCCTTCCTCCTGATCATCACCGCCCTGGCCGTGCCCCACTGGCTGAGTGGGAAAATCCTGTGTCAGACTGGAGTGGATCTTGTCAACGCTACGGATCCAGAGCTGGTCAAATTCATTGGGGACATTTACTACGGGCTCTTCCAAGGGTGCAAGGTGCGGCAATGTGGGCTGGGGGGCCGCCAGTCCCAATTCACAAGTGAGTATATTGGGGGCCTGAAAACCAATGTCTACACCTTCTTGTTTTTAATTTACAAGTTTGCTTATGTCTAAAGATAATGTGTTAGGCACTTACTTCTAAATGACATAATACTTACAGTATTATGTCAAAGTCCACAGACAGCCAAGGGTTCTTGTTCTTCCTGTCTTATAGAGGCATTAGAAATAGGGATTTGTTTATTTTTGTAGTTTATCTCTGTTAATCCTATCTAGTAAGATACTGAGTGTTTATACATGCCAGGCCTTCCACTATCAGCTGCACAGTTCCTGTCTCTTTTAAGTCCTGCAACAAATTTATAGAGAAGAAATTATTAGTGCTACCATTTTGAAGAGGAGTACTCTGGGGCTTAGGGAGGTCACATAACTTGCCTGAGGTCACTGAGCCAGGAAACAGCAGAGCCAGATCCCAGTCCTGCACTGACTCTGGTACAAGCACATCAACTGTCAGGTGAAGACAACCTGGAGAAATGACCCTTCAGGAAATATGGGGACTTTCTCCGCATCTATTTATATGGAGACTTCAGAGTCTGATAAACAGCAAAGGGGCTCTCCCCCTGGGTGCTGGAATCCAACTGCTGGGGTGTGCAGGATAACTGGGTTGTCTACTGGCAGGGAGACCTCAGGCATGCTCACTGAGGAACATGAGCAGACAGAGGCTCTGGACCCCATTCAATTCTCGGTTCAGAGCTACTAGGGCTGTAAACAGAGCAATCCACAAAGGTAAGAGGCAGGAATCCCAGCTGGGCTTGGAAAGGGTCTTTGAGAAGGAAAACCTAAAACAAAAAAGCTAATTTCCTATAAGCCCTTAGATTCAAATAAATTAACTCAGTAGTGAGAATGGTGTCCTATAAAACCACAATTAATCAACCTCTTGTTAATGCAAGAAGACCAGGAATTCTATTCATTACTAATTTCTGTATTTTTGAAATGGAGGATTTAGAAGCATGGCAGGATACATATCTTAATAGATGAATAACTACAGAAAGCTGGAACAATTGCAAATATAATGCAAATTGTCTTCATTTATATACATGAAGCAAATACATGTTATGTTATTTAAGGCAAAAAATGAGCATATTGATGTATACTACCAATTAAACTGGGCCCTAAATATTGAGGAAATAACTCCATTAAAAACATAATCAAAGACATAAACAAAGAAATTTAAATAAAGGGAATGTTTAAAAGAGAGCATGGCAATACCATGCAGTACCTAATTCTAATCCAGACCCCTTAGCTGCAAGGGATGTCACTGGGCCACTTGGTGAAAGTTGAATGGGCCCCAGGATCAGAAGGGCAGTCATGTGCTAGTGGTACCCCAATAAAAAGATTCTGGCCAGCGCCAGCTCCCACAAAGTTAAACTGCTTGAAACCAGAAGCCATAGTAAGTCCCCTTTGGACAAATCCAATAAATGCTCCTTTCCCTCCTGCACCATCCCTTGGGTTCCACCCCCATGATCTGGTCTCAGGCATCAGAACTGTGTATGAGGCATAAAATACACTTTATTATTATTACCAGGGAATAAGACAGTATTGAGAATGTTTTGTTGTCCTGATGCCCTGGGATGGTCCCAGAGGAGTGTGTGTAGACATCCATTCACGTGGGTACCTGCGAAGGGATTATCTTTGAAAACTTTCCTGAGAGCCTAGGGCCAGGTTCCTCCTGTGGTCACTGACTTTACACTGTTGCACAAAGCACATGTTATTCTGTTCTCTAGTGCCAATCTAGTTTCCTTTAGATATGCAGCCCTTAATTCCAGGGCAATGTAAACTCCAGGCAGTTACCTAGCATATCAGAGTCTCCCCCCAGGAACATGGAACCAGGATTTATCTACTTCTGCCACTCACTGTTGATCTGTAGGAAAATATCCCTGTTTATAGGGTGTAGAGATGGGGATGTGCTTTGTAAACTTTAGAGCGGGGGGTAAGGGGGCGGTTTATGGGGTGTCCCTAACAAATAGACTCTTTTGTCACTATTACAGCCACCTCCCAGAGACTAACCCAAGGGAATCAACTCCTGCCACAACCACAAGGAAGGGAACTTGTTGTCACAAATGGTTAAGGTCCTTCCTCATACCCAGAACTTCTGAAATAAAAACAAGCTGGCTATGTGGATGGCTAGAGAAAGAAAGAGGCAAACATTAAATTAAAGGTGTCCATACATTCAACTGTACAGTTGAAGATTTTACAGCCAGACACCATTAGGGAAATAGGGATGAACAAGAGAGATAAGTGCCTGCCCTGGAGAAGCACACCACACAACAAAGGAGAAGCAGGACAGTGTTGGGCAAATGAGTAGGAACATGGCACAGTCTTATCTCAAGTCATCCCTCGTGGTTCATTTCCTTTGGTCTGACTGTGCTAGAAGAATGATCTTATTATACCCATTGTCCTGATGAAGACACTGAGATCAGAGAAATAACACATGAAATAATTTCAGTAAAACCAACTAACATAATAGGTTTGCTGCTGTTTGCAGTTCTCTGGTCCATCCCTACTTTTCACCCCACAAGTTGCACAGTAGCCAGGACCTAGGACTGGCTTCCATTGTCATGCTTATTTGCTTTGCTAGGGCAAAAATGGACTGTCAGGGTTGTCTGGGATCAGGAACAAGTAAGTCTCTTAAGTCTCAGATGCTGATAGAATAACTAATAAATTCTGGTATTTAAATGAAATAACTCTAATGCATACAAAATTAGAATGCTTATTGAAATTCAGAATAAGACTGCTAGAATTCAAGTTGCACTATGATTAAAATTTTAAACCTTTACTTATCTAGGTTTTCTGAATTTTTTCTTATAAGCCCTTTATTAAAGTAGTTAAGGCAGCATTTCCAAGCTGCATCCTTGGCTAAGCTATTTAACTTCTTCACACCTTATTTTCTCATCTCTAAGAGTGAGAGAGGGTGGTCATAAGCAGTAAGGAAAGAACATGTAGAAAGTGCCTGGCACAGAGTCTGCACCTGTATCAATTGTGGCCATCTGTGTTTATGGTCATGAATTTCAAGCTGGTAACTTAAATTTCATTAAGTCAGAGGCATCTAAAACTCTTGGAAATGATACAAACATGGAAAGCAAATGAGCCACAGCTTTCTGGGAATGGAGCTATGTGATAGAACCAGAGGTGGAGCAGCCTCAAAAACAAATGGAAAGAATTGATGCACTCAAACTCCATTGGAAAGGCCTGAATTTCTAAATAGTGACATATATGAAAAATAATTAAGATATGACTTCTCTGGGAGATCCTGAACTGGGGGTAATGGCAGACAAACGTTGGGGTTAGAGGAGATTCTTTTTTTGCCAATGAAGTTTTTGTAATATAATTTATGTATTTCTTACTATAGAGACTGAGGATTTGGTACTCCTTACCTCCCTCTCCACTTCACTCCTTATGCCCAAAATTCCCTCTTCTCCATCATCCTTATGTGGTTATTGCCCAAATTTTTTATTAACTCAAATCTGGATATGGGTTTATATCATCATGTGTATATGATTAGTTCTTCTTAAAAGCTTGCTGTGTAGTTGTGCCTACATTTATTGAATCAGTCTCCTGTTGATTCACCTGTTAGTTTTTCTCCAATCTTTTGCTATTGCAATGAGTATCCACTATGCACCACTTGGAGCACATGTAGGAGTGTGACTGGAAAATAAATGCCTAGAAGTGAGATTTCTTTGATAGATGTTGTCAAATGCCCTCTAACAAGGTTGTAGAGATTAATATCCTGATAAGATTTGAGAGTGCCTTTCCTCACACTATCATCAACACAGTGTATCAACAAACATTTTGAACTTTGCCAATCATGTAGATGGCTATTTTCTATTTCAAGTAGTGAAGATCACTATGCTAGTCATGTGTCCTAAGGATTGCATGATCAAGAAAGGGGACAAGGAGATAATTAGGCAATCAGAAATAGGCATTCATGTTTGGAATAAGAGAGGCTACAGGTTTAAAAGAGGGGGAAAACTCTATGGGAAAGGAGACGAAATGGAAATAAAGGGAATAAAGATGTCTTAGAAAGACAAACTCTCTGGAAAGGAGCTCATATTCCCAGGTAAAGTTTCCAAGGTCAATGAGATGAACATGTGGAGATAATGATATGGAAACACAGAACTGGGAAGAAAGTTAAATAAGAGCTGAGGATGTAAATGTGGGGTGCCTGGAAACTTGTGAATAGATAGGACACCTTACAAGGAGAAGAACGAAAGCCCTAGTTCTCAGCCTTGGGAGATGCCAACCGTCAATGAAAAAATGAAAGGCAGGTGAGTCAGCAAAGGGATCAGAAGGAGAGAGAGTCAGAGGAGTGAGAGTAGAGCCAGAGCAGCGTAGAGTCCTGGCACCGAAGAAGAGTAGTAGGGCGTGGGGAATGAAGGGCTGGTCAGTGGTATTAAATTCAGCAAGGAGGTCAGGGCTCACAAGCTGGACCCAGATTCAACCTGAAGGTGTTCAGCAGAAACTGGGGAGTATTGCTGAGTAATGGGTCTGCTCAGGAGTTCTTAGATCTCATTGTTTTAAACTCTCCATTTATCATTGCTGAAAATTTGAACCTCTTTATAGCATCAAGTACGTAAGATTATAATCCTATATAGAGTTTAGAGTGGCTTGCCCAAAGACAAAGAACTTCATGTCTCCAACCTGTGAGATAAAGGAGTTAATACAATCTACCTAGTATCTTTATCATGAGGATTGGGTGATCCCCTTTATTATGGAATATAAAATGCTGGCCTGTGACTGTGTCAACAAAAGCTGATTACCTGCAACTCATGTTGCCATTACTATCCCCACATCTCTGATGAAGAAACTGAGGCCTAAGAAACCATGTGGGCTTCCCCAAGTCAGAGAATAAAAATAACAAGAACAGTACCCATTGCTGCCATTGTTAAGAACAGACTTTCCCAGGCAGTATCTGAAGTGCTCTAGTACATCATTTCATCTTCACATCTTAGGATATAAAGAAAGCAAATACAAATGACCATTTCATGAAACTATTCTGCTACCTTCATGTGGGACGTTAGTATCTTCATGAAGTATTTTGTGACACAAGAATTAAGTGTCCTTCACATATGGGGGCATAATATCTACCCTGCCAGTCAGTGCCCAGGGCTTGTGGGCATTAATTCAGAGCAGATTCCAGAGCTGCAAGATCAATTCCAGTGTCATACATTTTGATTTTATGTCCACTCCTAGGAAAAAGAAATTGTTGACAAGTGGCAACTCTAGGGGCCATGAGCTCATCTCAGGAAGTCTCCTGCTTTTTGAAAACCTAGTTCTTGCTGTCTTGGCTTCACCTCCTCTACTAAAGTCTTCACTGGAAGAAAGTATGGGCTTGATGAAAGTAAGCCAAGCTCTGACATTGAAGTGTCTGTGTCTTCTCTTCCCAGTCTTCCCACACCTGGTAAAGGAGCTCAATGCAGGCCTCCATGTGACAATTCTTCTGCTCCTCTTCCTGGCCTTAGCCCTGGCTCTGGTTAGCATGGGTTTTGCCATTCTCAACATGATCCAGGTCCCCTACCGAGCAATCAATGGCCCAGGGGGCATCTGCCTATGGAATGTCTTGGCAGGTAAGGAATCCTCTAGGGGGAGAAATTCATGCTCACCCCATCACCAGGATGGGCTTCAGGTGGTTGGGCTGAAAGATATGAAGGAATTAAAATGCTTATCCTCAGCCTTCACTTGCTGGGTGTAAGACCTTCTTGATGGGCATGGGTGGCCTCTTTATAAAAGTTTTAGAGTCTGTCACAATAAAGAACCACATTGCTAGAGTATGAGAGATCAGAATGAAGGGGAAGGTAGAAGACAGAGAGCTGGAGGCAGGGTGAGGAGAGGACCATGAGGAGCTGAGGAGATACAGCCAATGCTGCAGCTGGGGTTGGAAGGAGCCTCCACAAATGACAGAGGAGAAGAGTAATGTGAGCAAGAGAACATCCATAAAATGCTAGTCTATCAGAGAAGGGAGAAATATGTGCCATCAGCAACTACGTCCTCAGAGCTCTCCTGGGCATGTTAATGGAGACATGCCTTGTGGGATGTCTGAGCTTCCCTCCTTCCACCTCCTCAAACACCATTACTATACCCCGCCTTAAAGCTGGATGCTAACTAGTAAGCATTCTCAAAAGTGCCCAGTAAGGGTCTGGGGACTTTGCATTCCTTATCTCATGTAAATCTCAAAAGGCCCGTGAGGAACTATTGACAGACCCACGTTTATGGATGAAGAGCCTGAGGCTCAGAGCACTGGGTAGCAGGGGTCATTTTCCAATTCCAACCCAAGTGTAATTAACTCTAAGCCCTGTCTTTTCAATGATCCCTGGTCATATTTGTGACCATTGTGACCTATTTTCCAAGACAAAAGTGTGTGTGTGTGTGTGTGTGTGTTGATTTGAGAGTATATTAATACATGGAAATTAATTCACATCTAATTATGCATGAAACAAACCATTTGTAATGAAAGTAACAAAATCCCTTGAAACAAGGTCTGCTCAGCAGACCAAAGAACTTAATGAGACAAGATCTGCAGCCCACCCCTAAGGTAAAACTTCAGCCCGTGGGCTGTGATTTTCTTGCCTCATACCACACAGCCATCACAGTCTACTTAGAAATCCTAAGATTTTTAGAGATTGGACTTCTCCAAATGTGGTTTCCTAGAAAAAATGGTGGTGGGTAATGGGGGGAAATAGAAAGGATCAGAATTCAAAGTCAAGCTAGTAAAAAGCTATTCTTTTTCCCTGCCTCTCCCCCCTCAAACTATATAGGTCATCTGCTACTTTTATTTAAGGGTAAATTAAAATGTGTGCTGCCCTACTAATTCTTTAAACCCAAAGCAAGTTTGCCTCACATGGCACAGAAATGTCACCTCGAATAGAGCCCTTACAACTGCAAAAAGCTGTTTTGGATGACGGCCATCTATTGGGTTTCAGGTGGAGTCATGGCATTAGCCATTACCGGCTTCATGGCCTCAGTGAAATTTCATGACCTGACGGAACGAATCGCCAACTTCCAGGAGAAGCTCTTTCAGTTTGTGGTGGTGGAAGAGCAGTACGAAGAGTCATTTTGGATCTGTGTGGCCAGCGCTTCAGCCCATGCAGCAAACTTGGTTGTGGTGGCAATCAGTCAAATTCACCTCCCTGAGATTAAGACCAAAATGGAAGAGGTCACAGTCACTGCTGAGGATATCTTGTACTGATAGCCCCCTCCCATCCACACCCTATCCTAAAAAAGTCTGTAGTGTGAATGGATCTCATTTTTTTTTTTTTTTGCAGCCTTGCCACTCCAAAATGTCTCTGTTCTTGACAGTAAGAAGAAGGATGTGAAAGGAATAAGAGGGTGACTGGGCCAGAAGAAAAAAACACCTCCCCACAGCCCTGGCATAGTTTGCATTTCTCTCTCATGATCCTGGAGTTGGAGTTGTCAATTCAGCCACTTGTCAGTCATGTGTGATAGTGGACACTTCACTGGCTGTCTACTTCTCAGTTTCCTCATCTGTAAAGTGGGGGTAGTAAAAACTTTTCAAGCTTGTTGTGAGATTTGAATGGGTGGAGATGTTGATAGCAGAGAAGCCTATAAAATTAAGGTACTGTATACTTCAATAAGTGTCTCTAGACCTTGTTCTATTCCATACAGTACTGGTGAGGATACAAAGAAGAATTTAATGACATCCCTAAACCTGAGAAATACCTAACTCTCCAGATGACACAGGAATCAGTTAGCACAACAACACTAAGAATGAAAATGTCATCCAGCTTTTGCGTGGCTACTATATGCCTGACCCTGTTCTAAAAGTTTCCTATGTGTTAACTCATGAGATCCTCACTACACACCCAGGTGGCCAGAACTATTTTAGCCACACTTGACAGATGAAATAGCTAAGGCATAGCAAAGTTGTGTAGCTTGGTTAGATGAGGAATTAAATTTGGGAAGACTGTAACCTTAGTCTATACTTTTAACCATGGTGCTAATCTGTTGTTTGATGTAATTGCAAAGCAACATGACAAATGCTGAAATAGCACAGGCATAAAGGATTGAGGAAGGAATTCAATCTTCAGATGAGATGTGGTATTAAAGTATCACTGAGCTAACATTTGATCTGAACTTTGAAAGATGAGTAGATTTTTTCCGTTGGTGATGGAAGCAAGGTTGGAGAAGGTCATTCCTAAATGAGTTGGTAAGGACAGTAGACACAAGACAAAAAATTCCAAGGAGGCCATACCAGCACATGAGAAGCGATGGAAGTGTCACTCTGATTGACCTGTTAGAGAGACCCAGCTGTTTTGTGTTGGGTTTCCCTAACTGAGATGGTTAATTTTAGGCATCAGCTTGGCTAGGTCATAATACGCAGATGGACTTGTCAGCCTCCAGAATTATGAGAACCAATTCCTAAAAATCTCTCTCTCTCTCTCTCTCTCTCTCTCTCTCTCACTCTCTCTCTCTCTCTCCCCTTGATATCTTTGGAGGATTGGTTCCAGGACTCCCCTCAGATACCACAAATGCAAGGATGGTCAAATCAACTTTGTAAAATATCATCGTGTTTTCATTCTCTTGTGTATTTTTAATATCATCAACAAATGACATGATGCCAAACAGATGTTACATAATCCCTCAAATTAGCTCCATCTAAAATGACATCCAATTTGGTGACTTCAGGAAGTTTTCATGGTTTCTCTCTGTTCTAAATGCTTACAATTCACTGCCAGGCCTGTCTGTCCCCTCCAGCCCTCTACCTCCATCCAGACAAAGCTTCAGTATTATTTATGGATGGATGCAGATGGCACATGGCTTGAAGGACAGTGAATTTGATAGGAAAAGGATCCAAAAGATAGGAGCTAACTGCCATGCTGACTTGTAAGAGCAAATATCAACACCGTATCAAGGCAAACACAAAGCCCTACTGATGGATGTTTTTTAATCAACATAAACAGAGAAGACTCTGAAAAGAATTTATGTGACAAGTATCTGAGGATCTTAGTACATTTATCATTCAACAAGTCTTGAAACTGATCTAGAAAGATGCTCAACATACAACAGTGAACAAGTACACACAAAATACCCACTCTCCAGAGATCTCCTTGCTCCAAGGAAACAAAGCACAGTCTTTTGAACATGTCCACGAGTGTCTGGTGACAGAGTCCACAGCTTTTGAAAAAATTTTAGAAGCATCTATAACACCTTAGAAGTTTCCTGGAGAAAATCAGGTTCAATTTGAAAGACCATCTGTCAGGATACTATGGAAGAGATTCCTAAGTGGAATATGACAGCGCTAGGGTTGGGGTGCAAAGAAGGGAAATTACATATCTGAGTCACAAAATTCAGTTGCATTATTACTCAAATGCATAGGGAAAACATAGCTCCTTGATACTATTAGTAATTTGGTCATTTTATGAGTAAATAAATAAATGTCCAATCCAGTTTAAATTAAACCTAGTGTGATCATTTCTACCATCGCTCCCAATAGGTTCAGCGTCTCCAGGGTAAATGGCTGGTTCCTCAGATAACCTGCCTGCCCTTCCTTTCTCTTGAAGATGGTTCTTGGATTGTGGGAAAGAAAGGCTCCTGGAAGACCCTCCTGACCTCCTGCTGGTCCTGGAGGTACCCAGACTGGGATCTTTGGTCACCCATCCACCTGACTGCTCCTCATCCTGCCAACCTTCCAGGATCTTCTGAAACTAGAATAATTTATGAAATGTTCTCTCAAAACCAGTCAGAGTCCAGTCACTGCCTGGAAGACTTTTTCACATGCTGGATCCCATTGTCTATAGACCCCGAATGACCACCAGTTCCTCCCTCCTGCTTATTTGCCCAGTGGTTCACCTCAAATTCTGCTGCAGAGTCACCTCTACTCTGTACTGCAGCCTAGGAGCCCCACCTGGTCTCCACACAGCATCCTGACTCGCAAAGTGTGGGGACGCCACTTCAGTCCCTCTTCCCAAGTAACTGAGGTGACTTACAGCCTATGTCCCCAGTCCTTTTGTTTCTTTCATCGTGCTTTTTGAGGCAAGGGCTCATTACTTTTTTGCCCAGGCTGGCCTCAAAGTCATGATCTTTCTGCCTTTGCCTCTGGAGGAGCTAGGATTTTTAGGCATTCACCTCCATGCTTGACCCCCATGATGACTGCACAGGTGACACCCCATCCAAGGCAGATGCAAGTATGATGGCAGGCAACTACTCCCATCTAGCAGATTCCTTGTTATTATATGAGATCTACTCAGATAATCTAGAATATTGGGAGAGGGGGCATTTTTCTAGCTACTACAGTAAAGCTATTCAAAACCAGTATTTCTTGTTTTAACAAAATTTCTAAAAAGAAGAATGTTTGGAGGATGGGCATGGTAGTGTACACCTGTAATTCCAACTCCTCAGGAGGCAGAGCTAGGAGGATAGAAGTTAGAGGCCAGTCCCAGGCAAAAAGTTAATGAAGCCCTATCTCAAAAACAAAATAAAAGGACTGGGAGCATGTCTCATGAGGTAGAGCATTTGCCTAGCAAGCATGAGGCCCTGAATTCAATCCCCAGTACCACACACACACACACAAAAGATGTTGAGGTATAAAACTAAGGAACAAAAATTGTATTGACCATTAATCATTATCAATGGATTAGCATCACAATTTAAAAAATATTTGCTAGAAGTGGGATGCTCACTTCATACTTCAAATATTTATATGTTATGTTGAGTGCATCCTTGGACATCACAGAAGAGTAGAAGGGTAGAGAGGGGTTCACAGCAAGGCCCAGGGAATCTCAAAGGTGACACCTGATTGCAGGTCCTGATACTGGAGAGAGACATAGCCACTCAGAAAAGTCCCTGTGCTCATTTTAGCTGAATTTGTACATGTGGAAGATTGTTAAATTAAGAGCAGAGCTTCATAAGAAATCTGTGTAACTATGACTTGGATAAAATTCTTGCCAAATAAATTGGGTTTTGTGCTTTGCTTTGATCATATGGTCTCATTTCCTTTCCTACTGCAATGTTAACATCAGCAAATACAGTCACAATGTGACAGGAATAATGCAATCCTGAATGATCACCAGGTTTTGTGCATTAAAAGTACTGATAAGTAGTTCCTCTTATCATCAGATTTTGAGTTAAAAGAGCTAGAATCATTGTTTTCTCACTTGCAAGATAAAAAATTTGCAGAAAATGATCTCTAATTTTCCTTCCCACTCTAAAATTTTAAAATGCTTTAATGCAATATAAAATATCCAGATCTATAAGGAACAGAGCACTTACCACACACATGCACGCAGCCAGACGTTTTCATGTACACTATTTAATAGTGTACATGGAGATGCTAGAGATACACACTGACAATTCAACATCGTGGAGGGAAGATTTCAACACCAATTTTACTATATTTTTATTGTATGTGAATTCTGTGATATTCATGGCTGAGTTCTTGGTTTAATAAGAACAAATATAAAAGCAGCATGTAATTACTTATTCTAGTGTTTTTGTTTGGGGAAAAACAATAAGCAACAATGGCAAATGACTACAACAGTAGCAGATTTTCTTTTGCATTTGAACTCTTGGGGACAAATATAATGTAATATATTTTTTCTTTTTTCATAACCATTTTCTCAACTTTAGGTATTTCAAAGGGCGAGGAGGTAGGAATGTGGGGTGGGAAAAAGTGCTCATTCTACTGAAAAAGGAGATGTTCATGGAAGGCAAGCAGTGTTTCTGGGACTGCTGTTGAGGGTGACTCTGTGCTTAAGGAAGCCCTGTCAGTGGATACTCATCCTGGGTGCCACCTACACTAGCCCACCTGGGACGTGGCTCTTTATGTGCCTGCTGTTTCTCAGCTGAGTAGTCAGGGGTGAGTTCTGTCTTAGACTACTCAAAGTTTTACATTGGCTTTGAAAAACAATGTTCCTTTTAGTGTTGCAGCCACTAACGCCATTTTAAAAGTCTACTTTTAAGAGTTCCCTGTACTAGATCCTTTCATGTAATGCAGGAAATTGAAAATTAACAAAGCATGAAGATTTCCATTTTGGTTTCTACCTGTGCCTTTTTTTTCCTCTTTGAGGCTGTCACTGAGATAGCACCATCTCTGTTCTATCATCCCTACAACAAACGTTAGTAAGTTATTTAGAATTTATCAAACTGTGGCAAAAACCTTGTTTTGTAGCTGAGAAAGAAAAAGTAGGAATGCATTTCTTCTCTTCTATTGGCATAGTGTGAGAGGGGCTTCACTGCGAAATTTCTATACATG